GGGGGGGGGGGGGTGTTTCTCTTGGCTTTTGCAAGCACTTTTTGTCAGTATCGTGATTATCGTGGTTGTTTGTTGCCAGCGTTTCATGTGGATTTTGTCAGTCTCGCAACATTATTTTTGGAAATAGACCTTTTCGTACTCCATCTTATCCTTGTCTGCATTTGTGGAATTCAGTCCGTTTCCGGACTGGTCCAGAACATAACATTATGTCAGCAACCATCACACAAGCTCACACACCAGATAGCCATTTTTACGACGTGCGACACGGCTCCACTTGGCCAGGACAGGGTGACTTTTTTTCATCACACACACTGTGTGTCAGCTGATCAATTCATCCTCAGACTCATCAATATTTTGAAGCAGACGTAATGCCTCCTCTACTCGAGAAGATTTTTTTTTTTTATGGATCATGGTGACAGCAGCATTTCTCAATGCAGCCGCTGGTTGCTACGGAAACCCGGTGGCACCGTCCCAGACAATGATGAAGGTCATATCACATTTGATGCTGGAGTTATGCAGAAAACCGGGCAATTTCAAAGGGCTGAGATACTTTTTCTTGCAACCGTATTTATTCATTGAGATTCTGACAGGAAATATCATTCAAAGTGTGTCCTACCGGCGACAGGCGGGGGTGTCCTGAGGATGACAGAGGGGGGGTATGCCTGCTGCTTGGGAGAGAACACCGTATGGAGGACTGCGGGAGACAAAACGGGACAATAGTGAAGAGCTGAGAATCCAGACAGCATCAAGACAGAGCATCAGAAATAGCACACTCCAACATTTTGTATCCAGACTCAATAAATACCACCTCACATTGCCAAAAAGAAACCATGAAATGTTGGCGTCAACAAGTCTTTCATCATTGCGACCAAGTAACTTGGTCATGAATCTCTCAACAAACGTGTCAAAAATGAAAGAATTGGCCCAAGGTGAGCTTTCAAATAGCGGAGTGTGGGAATCTGCACACAAAAGGCTATAAAACAAGTCCATAGAGTACTGGTGTGTGACAATGAAGATAAGAAAGATATGGCAGGAGTAACTTGCACCCTACCGATGACGACGATGGCTGTACTGGCGAGCAGGGCAAACAGGGTGAACAGCATCATGTGGTAAGAGTTTTTAAAGCCGTGTAGCGGGAGGCCCCCTTCGGTGTTAATAAATGCTGCAGCAGCTGCTGTGGAAGAGAAGAACAAATGTCAGGTTTACAGCCATTTGGCACAGTTGAATTGATTTTAAGATAGAATGTTGAAAAGAAAGATAGAATGTACATTTCAGAACACCTATTTGAGATGTAATGTAATTTTCAGAAAATTTATTGTGCAGATCTTGATCAACAAACATTGCAATCGGTCGGCTGGTAGAGTCCAACTATTGTGTCAGCCAGTCACAAGCTGACGTACTAACAGACTCACTTGCAAACTTCAAGTTAATCTACCGCGCATGTCGTCTTGTCATTTGTAGAACATCTTTGACCTCCGCGGAACAAATGGCAACTTCCCGAAAATGTCGGACTTTTCTTTTTGACTTCCTATGAAGCGGAAGTCTTCCTTTGAAGGAATAGGGAGGGGGATAATGGCTGATTAGACGGTGATGTGATAGTGAATATCGAGACGATTCTGAAAAGGTAAAACAGATTCACAGACGACAAAAGTAAAAGTTTAAAGGTACTTAGCCCGGGTGAAAGTGGGAACAAGGTGAATGTTTGTGTTCATCTGTCCATAGATTTGTGTTTGTGAATAAAAGATGTGCTGAATCATTCACACTTTACATGTATGGAGATAATCGTGACTCATGGCCTGATGTTTGTTTATTTTACCAGCGCTTACGATGTCAGAGGTTTATGTACGAGCCAAAAAGGAATTAAAAGGAAACTTCAGACCACAAGTAAAGCTTCATTATTTCAACCGACGCTACAGTCCGTAAAAAATGTTTTGCCCAACCAGCACACTTGGCATCTCTTGGCTTGACAACAGCAGTTGGTCACAAAGAGGGAGCACAAGCAACGGGGCAAGCACACAACCAAGTTATCTACACAATATATTTCAGAATTTGCTTCTGCGAGTCATATAGGACTCACAACAAATTGAGGTATTCCTCTGCATCGAACATTTTCAAGAGGCAACCTTATTGTGACTTCCCATGAACCCACAGAGGAAAACTGACCTTGTGTGTTTGCACCAGGCTCAGCCACGTGTATCAATGTGACTGGGATGACGAGACTCTGACCCGAAGAGGCACTGCTGATGATAATTGAAGCAGAGGCAGCTGCTCGGAGGTCCAAAGCCCTGACGGTGTACTTTGACAGACTCGGGAAGTCGCACTGTGCCTCGGCCTTTTGAATACCAATGATGGGAGAACTGGAGACCGCCTAAGAAAAACAAAGATATTTTACTTGATTCGATTTCCTCACACAGACCAAGGCATCGTTATTTAGATGAAAAACAGCCCCTGACCTCCATGTCTGCTTGGGCATCAGCTGCACCGAAGACTGTGAGCTCCGCAGTTGGACGCAGGTTTGAGAGCGTCAGCTCAGTTCGGTCCGAGTACATGCCGGGCTCTATTGGCAGTCTGGCGCTGACCTGCTCCCCCGAGAAAGCGCTGCCCTCCAGGGCAGCCTTCACCAGCAGGTTACTCAAGGTCATGCTCGCAACTCTGGTCAGTTGGTCTGCCGTTGGCTGCAAGGTCACGGAACACGTGTAGAAGCCTATGGCAAGGACAAAAAGGAAACGGGAGGCTGAGGGTGACAGAATGATGACAAACAATACGTTAGCGAAAACAAATTACTGGTACATAAAAAAATAAATAAATAAATTGGTGTTTTTAATAGAACTTTTTTTCATATTGCAGAAATTAAAAGTGGGTTTTAAAATGAATGAACATTGACAAATCTGAATTAATTGATGAAAAATGCATTCTCCAGCTCATTACAGACCCACGTGGCGAGGGGTGTCTTTGGATGTTTCCACAGGAATGTCAAGTCAGACAAGACGTACCACTGCTGGTGTCAAAGCTGGTGTGCGTTTTAAAGATGCTGCTTGCAGGGAAATCAACAGCATCGTTGGTAAAACTCAGGTGGCAAGCGACAGAGGTTTCTGGCTGGAGTTGCGCAATGGCTTCGGTCTGGAAAGAGGAGCAGGTTCCTGCAGGATACATTACAGTGGCATAAGCGAAGGCCAACAATCAACACCGTGGTTACATGAATTAGATGAAAGACGGGTAGGCGGAAGGAGCTGTGCAGAAAGGATTTGAGTGAGAGATTTAATACGCTTCACTGTTCAATATCTATTTGAATTGAAACTGAGGGAAGTCGGTATTTCATTTCACCAAGTATGAGGGCTCACATTGGATATACAGTTGAGTTGAGTTGAGTTGAGTTGAGAGCAATGTTGTGCACTGAAAACATTCAGTGGACAAACAACAACAGTTTTAATGTCCAATGATGAAAAATGTTATTCGGCCTAAGAACGTGCTTTTATGCATGAAGCCAGGGGACACCAATGGTTTTGTAGTTGGACCCTGTTAATTACATACTGATCATATGAAGTGATACTTTTTATTTTTGTGTGGTGATTTAGTGATTATCGGCATGAGTAGTGACAAAAGGTGGACTAAAATTGAGTCCTTTCAGTACCGATGAGGTTGGTTCCTTGTCCTCTGGTCGTGAGAAAGACTTCAGTCTGCTTGCCAATTTTCACTGGCAAGGCTTGTTGTGCTATTATTGCAGCCGTCTTGGTAGCTGATTCCACCACAACCTAACATTCAGGAGAAAAACAATCAATGAATACAATCACAACCTTCTCAGTTTTGGTAGGGTCAGATGCAAATTTAAACCAACGTTTAATTACCCAGAGATGAAAGTGGACTTTTCTGAAAATTCCGGAATAAACAAATAAATAAATAAATAAGTGTGTGTGTGTGTGTGTGTGTGTGT